GGGAGGCGGCGGCGGCGGCGGCGAGCTCTCTGGGGCTGGCTCTGGCAGACTGCTCGCAGGGAGCGGAGAGGCTTGGTTAAATCCTTAATTGCGCTCTTACGCACAGCGGGGTGGATCGGGTTCCATTGGCCAGAGCAATCAGGAGCAGCCAGCGACACCCTAACTCGTCCAACGAGTTTAGCACAACAAAGCGCTCGGCTGCTGCCGCTGCCGCCACGGCTTGGTCGTCGTCCTCTCTCTCTCTCGCTCTCTCTCCCCCCCCCCTCTCTCAAAAAAAGTTCCATTCAAACTGCCTTGCCGAGGGAATATCCAGCGGCCCCATTGTCTTTGGGGTTGGGAAGGGGAGGGGGGCTGTGGGGGAAGAGACTTTGGCAATGCACAGAGCGAGGTAAATAGTCCGGAGGAGGAGCAGAAAGGATTCTAGAGAGGGGGGGGTTGCTGGTGGGACCCCAGGCACCCACCCCCTCGGCACCCTGTTTTGAGACAAGAAGAGGCTGGCGTTCCTCTGGGCTCTGGGGAGAGGGCATGCTCTGGCCCTTTCAGTAAAGCCACCCATTTCCCTGACAAGGAGTGTCGTCCCTCGTTTGAAGGTCTGTCAAGGGGGCTCCCGAATGAGTTTAAAACCGCCTCAGGCGTCACACACCCCGCGGGCCCCGCGCAGGAGGGAGGGAGACTTCCCCTCCTCTCTTGATTCAGCCTGGGAGGGCCCTCAAAGTCTCCTCCTCAGTCCTTCGGTCTGAAAAATGGGCATAATAAAGACACACGGAACAGATTCGACGGGAATTGGGGGGGGGGGGAGAGTATTTCTGCATTCTGAAAAATGTGCACTAAATGAGCATACACGATAAGGACTGGAAATTCAGCTCCCCGGAATATCAATAGGTCAATTACTTTGGATTTTACCCCTGATTAACCCGCAGTAAACCTTTCCCAACCGCTCCGGAATAAAATGAAAACTAGCCGCAGAGGGCTATTGGGAACTGGTGGGAGGACCATAGCACACTGAACTCTTGTGCATCACCTCTGCTCGTAGATTTGGAAGCAAGCCCCTGCAGCACCCAGCGCTGAGTAAACAGGCGTTGGGACCGGACTTTGAATGACCAGTCCAGTGAGGTCCTCCCCCACCGGTTATCTCTAGAAGATGATGGGTCTTAAAGGGTACCACAGGACTCAAACATTTGACTCAAGGCGGATTACACATAGTGAGTCTGTGTCTGAAACTCCCCGGTGCTGCTGATCGCCCCAGGGGAGGGGGGGGGCTTCGAATGTTCTCCGCTGATCCCCCCCGCGAGACTCGCCCAAGGCAAGGGGCACATGCGAGACTCCACGGGGGCGTTCCGCTCAAAGAGGCTTCCGGAGACTGAAGTCGTGGGCTGCCTCGGTGCGTGTCTCCTGGAGCGCGTTCTGGTTTTTTGTTTTTAGGAGGTGGGAAGTCGTAGGAAGTGTCGTCTCCAAAAGAGGGAGGGGAACGATGTTTGCTGCTGCGACAGCTGCTCTTGGAAGCATCTTTTGCAGCCGACGTTCCTTTTTTTTTGGGGGGGAGGTAATTTTTTGCATATGGGGGTGTGTGGGGGTGCGCTCGCGGGTGCGCATATGCGTGCTGTGCCTGGACGTCATGGCGACCATGGGCGACTCGCACTGGGACATGGAGGATGCTCCGAGAAGTGGCTTGGTAGTCTGCCTCTGCCTCCCGCCCCTGGTATTCCTTGGAGGTCTCCCATCCAAGCACTTGCCAGGATAGGCCCTGCTTAGCTCCCGAGATCTGAGGAGTTCGGGCTTGCCTTCCAGCCGACGTTCCTTGAGTCTCCCCAACTGTGCCCCCGAATTCCATTCTTCGGGGACCCCTTCTCCTCCGCCCCCCAATAGCATTCTTCCTAGAACCCCTCCTCCAGCAAGAACACAAGCTTGCCTGGGTCCTGCCCCCCCACCCGCTAAGAACAGCTCCCGGGGGCGATTTCTATCGGGAAAACAAGGCGAGGAAGCGTCCCCCCCTCCAACCGAGATCCCGATCCCAATCGCCCCACCCCCGCTGTCTGCTTCTTTTATACTAAAGACTGTAAAAGTGTGGCCTAGGACGTGTGCTTTTCCTCGGAGTTCTTTTGAAACTTCCCCCAAGTTCACCAGCATTGCCATAGACGAGTCTCATTAATACCGGGGGGGCTGAGATTGCGATCCTAAGGGAGTAAGGCCCCAGAGGGACGTTCCAGGGACCATCCCGCACCCTCCTTTGCAACAATTCTGGAGGGGTGGCGGTCAAAGAAAGCATTTCGAAGCAGACTTAGGTTGGGAACAGTGTCACTCATAGTAGACCCTCTTTGCCCCCCCCTCCCCCCGCGCCTATGGTCAGGATCTCTATGCTGGGGATCGTTTCAGCCCCCCGTTCACAATTGCTTGGGGGGGGGGGAGGAAAGGATGAGGGTTATTTTTTCTCTCTCCTTCGGTAGACACCCGGCAAACAAATCCGAGGCTGTTTGCCGTGGCCGGTGGGGAGGGGGGAGGAGAGGAGAGGGGCGCGCGGCTTCTCCTCGGCAGGCTGTTTACTCTCCAGATTTAGACTGTTTGCTTTCCGGAAGATCTCGCAGCCAGCTGGGTCGCTCCTGCCGCTCGGGCCGGCCGTGCTGGACCCGGGCGGCTTGTTTGCTTTGGACGGGGCTGCCGCTCTTTAGGCAAATCCCTAACCGTTTAATTATAGGAATCGCTTTCCCTAAATCAATGGCAAATAATAACTTTTTTAAAAGAGAGAGAAGAATGAATGCGGGGAGAAGGTTGGACGAGTGTCTTCTACTGTCCGCTCGACACCCGACGGGCAGGATCGCGTTGCCTTTTCTGGCGGGGGGTTGGCCAGATGCAGGGACGCGGAAACCATAAATCGCGATGCCATAAATTCTTGCGAAGTGCATTTGAACAGGCCCGGGCAAGGCAGAAACCGAGGGGAGGGTGGCCTGAGAAATAGATCAAGCTGCGTGGCCACAAGCGCGTGGAGATGTATGTGTGTTTTGCTACCCTCCCCCCCCCGGGGGTCCTCCACAAGCTCTCTGTGCAAAATCTGACAGTGTTCTTCCAGTAAGGGACATACGTGTAAAACCCAAACGGGTTACTTTTCTCCAGCTCCCATCATGGGTTGACCTGAAATCGCTTCAAGGCACCACAGCGTCAGTCCCCGAAGTGGGGCCCAGGACTTCAATGTCACTTACAGCAAGTATCTGAAGACGCGTGCCTGCACACGAAAGCCTATGCCCCTTGGTCTTCAAGGTGCCACTGGGCACGAACTTGTGTTCTGCTGCTTCAGGCCAACGTGCCTTCCCCCCTGGACCTTACTTCAAGGGAGTGTGCATGGGGCAGCAGGGGCTAACCAGTTTGTGGGGCTGCTTCGGTTCAGAGGCAGAGCGCTACGGCGCACCTTGCCTTTGGATCTACTCCGGGTCCCATGATGCGATCCGGGTGCGTCGTGGCTATTTTCTACTCCGGTTTAAGTGGTCACAATGACCTATGGGACTCGTGTTCTCAACGCCCATTGGGTGGAGTTCTGCCTGAGGAGAAGGAGTTGACCTGACCCTTGTTTCAAACAGCACGCGGGGGGGGGCAACTCCCAGCCACCCCCCAGCCGCCACCCCCCTCCTCTTTCACCCTCTAGGAAGAAGCGCCCCTGTTTGTGATGGTGGGCCTGCTTGCCTGGACGCGCGTCATTTGCCTTTCTCCGCCGATCGGCTGCTGCCCCACCATCTCTGCGCCAGCCCCAACCCGATCCCCGGACTTTCTTTTGCTTTCCTCCTCCTCCGTGGTTTATATTTGGAACATCCGGAGCGGAGAGTCCAGGGAGCTTTGAGCAACGAAGCCGGGGCCGGCTCGGCCTCGCACAATCTGCTCATTGTTTGGGGCTCGGGGATCCGGGGGGGGGGGGCGGGAGGGAGGTACTGGCGGGCTGAAGTGGTCACGGCAGGAGCCTGTGGCGGCGGCGCGCTGGGCTGGGAAAGCAGTCAAATAAACCCCAACTCGTGTTCTGCTGAGTTTGTAGTTTGCTTTATTGGAGCAGCCTCTCGCGCTCTCGGGACAGGAAGGAACCTCAGGACCATCAAGACACGTAGGAAGAACGAGAGGCGGCTTTTTAAAAAAAACACAAAAACCCACAAGTTATTTTCAGCATCTCCAAACGCTAGCAAGAGATGCTGAAGTCTTTTCTAAGAGTGCCATCTCGTGGCCGAGAGGCACCTTGCTTTACGCACGTCCCCTTTGCAGAGGCGGGAAGTGTCACCAACCCGGAGTAAGAACAGTCTAGTTCAGGGGTGGCCAGACTTGCTTGACGTAACAACCACATAGAATAAACGTCAGATGTTTGAGAGCCGCAAGACATGAACAGATATTACACGTTTTTACTGGTATATATGCAAATTGGCTTTTTATTAACATTAAATGAGACTGCCAAATATAATAACAAAAGCGGTAAAAGCAGATACTGACAATGATATTTATTTGTCCAATGATATTTGTTTGCGAATGATATTTGACTTCCTCAGCCACCCTGCTGGGAGCTGCACAGTATGTGTGAAAGAGCCGCATGCGGCTTCCGAGCCACAGTTTGGCCACCTCTGGCTAGCTGAAGGGCCGTTCTCTTTCCTTTGCTTCTTCTACATGGGTTCTCTGCTATCCAGGCATCAGGTGCATTGCCATTAGGTACTACTAGCTGCTGCAACTGCATGGGAAAGAAGGGCCTGAAAGACTGTCTAAAGAAGACATCTGATGGAAAATATAGGTAATGTCCCAGCTGTCCCATCCATCCATCGGTGCTGTCCAGATCAGAATGCGCCAGCAGCAGGGGGACAGGATCATTGTGATTCTGGATTATTTCACCTGTTCAAGAGTAACTAGAGGGATTTTAAACAATGTTCTTAAAATATGCATAGACAAATTCAAGTGTGAACTCTAGGGAGCTGCAGCCAATCCTGATGTGTATACATGTGCAATAGATGGGTGTGCAGATACATGTTGATCACTAGCCTCTCAAACATCCCCCGTCCCCATTTCTGTTGTCTGCAGCTTTTAGTATAAATGTATCTGCCTGGCGGGAGCTGGTCCATGGGGTCGCGAAGAGTCGGACTCCACTGTGCGACTGAACAACAACAACAACAATCTGCCTAATGGATGAATACTTCATTCATTTGATGAAGTTAGCTCTGATTCACGAAAGCTTGTGCTGGAATAAATCTTGTTACTCTGGATCAATGTTCCCTCTAAACTGTGGAGTCTGGTGAGCAAAAAAATCTACTTTGTGAGCTACGGGCATTAAAGTTGTGAGCCAGCGCTTTGGCTCCTGCATACATTAGTTTGCTCTGGAGCCACCCTTCCTGAGTGAAGACAAAAATCTGTGAGCTGAGGCTAAAAAACTGTGAGCTAGCTCACACTAACTCCGCTTAAAGGGAACACTGCTCTGGATACTGCCTGGACTCCTGCTTATTTTGTGGCTGCAGGCTAATGTGGCTACCCATCCGGAATTATCCTTATTCTTGTGCAAGCATTTTCATGCCAGCAGGTGCTTCTACTCTTTTTTCCTTCTTTAAGGCTGTACTCCTGTGCACATTTACTCCAAAGTAAGCCCCACTGCCTCGCATGGGGCCTACTTTTGAATAAATCGGAATTTGCTTTGTGTAGTTGCATCTGAACACTCACTTTTTGCTGCTTCCCTTCCAAGTTTCTTTATGGCTTGAATTTGATCTCCTTTTCTCTATTATGCTTTCTCTCCTTCTTTGCTCTGTATCACTCCCCTTTCCTCTCCTATATTCATGAATTTGTCTCTTTTCATTTTCTGCAACACCATTTGACCCTATCATCACATTTATAGGCAAATGCTAGCTATGCATTGTTAACTGTCTTGAGTCTAAGGCAGGATACAGCTATTTTGGATCCTTTAGATGCTATAGCCACAGACTCTGAAAGTGCTTCCACTCAATAACTGGTTAGCATCAACAGTACTGGCCGTTTCATTGTCTGACACAGAAGATGGGACTTAGTTTTAGTCCCAGCCTTCTTAAACTGGTGATCAGAATGGTCAGATCTCATCTCAATCAGCCATTGGTAAGGGAATGTGCACGTTCTATACCACTAATTCAACCAGGATCTTTCTAAGGTCCAGAGAGGCCAGGGCCATTGCCACCTTTTGAGCGCTCTCTCTCTCAAAATGATGAAACATGAAAACAAAACAAGGTACCCAAAAGAGAAAGTAAAATATAATTTATTTTGTTGTTAATGTAACAATCGCTTTTAATGTAACACACACACACACCCCGTACTCCCTTTGAGCTTTAGGCTGTGGACAAGTGGACTTCTTGGCTCCCTTTTTGATTGTCCCTAAATTCAGCATGGAAACTACATGTGCTTCTTAGGTGTTACATGTTAAGTGCCTCCCTTTGCACAAACAAGCTTTTCACTAGTGGGTCCTAATCCAAATGTGTGGAAGCCCATTTCTGAATGTAAATGACCCTTTGGGTGCTTTATTGTTCTTTAGTAGTCACCTACTTCTTTGCACATGCCTACACAGTCACTGGCAGGGGTCGTTTTGTAGAAAAAGAGCTAGGGGAACTCATTAGCATAACTCATTAGCATATGCCACACCCCTGACATCACCGGAAGTGTGTCATAAGGCCACACCCCCTGACATCACCGGAAGTGCATCATAAGGCCACACACCCCAACCCAACGGTCCCGGCCACCACCGCCGGCCTTGCAGCTCCACTGCCGAGCCCCATGAGGGCCCCGGCGGTGGACCTGCAAGGCCAGCGGGAGTGCAAGGAAGCCCTGCGAAGGCCCTCCCTGGCCCCAGGCAGGCAGGGGTGGGGAGAGGCAGGGAGGAAGCAACTTACCCTCCCTCTTCTCCTGCCTCCTCCTGGCTGAATGAGGGCCGGAAGCGGGGCAGCCGGAAGCAGGGGGCGGGGATTCGTCATGTGCCCCACCCCCGTACCTCACCCGGGGGAACTGCGATCCCCCGTGATCCCCCCTGAAATGACCTCTGGTCACTGGTATGATACATTAAAGGCCTTGGTTAAGTTACAAGGAATCCTAAAGTAGACTCAGAGGACTCATTCATCCAGTCCAGCCTTGGAAACCATGACTGGCAGGCGGCCTTGAATTTCTGGCTCCATAATTCTTTCTGAGGTTTGCTAACTCAGATTCTCATCATAACCTTCAGTCACATCTGGCCTGGGCTGTCCAAAAGACATTGTGCTGATTCAAGAGTGGGGCTATCCAGGTCAGGGCCCTTCTTCTATACGACAAAATTATTTTCAGTAATAGTCATGAAATAAAACAAATA